ACATTTGTCAAAGGAAAGCTACAGTGAGTTGTCCCCTGCTGCTGGAATATAAGGTGTGGTAGAGGTGGCAGGACAGGGTGGGGTGTGAGCAGGGAGATTTTTAGCAGAGACAGGGCTCATCAAAGTCCAGGAAAGAGTCAGAGAACTGGCTCAGGCAGTGTGGTAGGCTGCCCTGCAGTGGGGAGAAGTTAGAGGGCAAGCTCATCATGAGACCATTTGAGAAGTGCAGCCATGCCAGGGAGGGGAGCAGGGCTGGGGAAAGAGGATAGTATGGAAGAGAAGGAGGCTGGGATGAGGCCAGTATGAGCCTGGTCTCTAACTCAAAATGGTGACTATGTTAGAAGTTAAATTCTCTGTCCGACCACCTTCATTACAAACCCATTCTCCTCTTTTCCTAACCCCCTGGGGAGGCTGGGCTGCCTCTGAGCCTACTTCCTCATCTGTAAAATGGGGATAATCCTACTTACACAAAAGTGTTGCTCTGGGGGTTAACCAGGTCTTATGGAAACAATCAGTATTCCCCCGTCCTCACCCCACTGAGCTATTGCTGTTTGTCCTAACTTCACAAGAAGAAGTCTAGGCTAAGCCTTCTCCCACGAACTGAAATAAATTTCTTGGCATGTGCCAAAGAACCCAAGAGTTTTCAGAGTTTGGAATAGCACTCCGTCGCTGGCACCATTCGTATTGGCCCAGGCCCCTCCCTTGCTGACCCCACCCACTCCTCCGTGTCTGCCTAGAGGCCTCCTGCCCAGGAGCCCCTGATATCAGAAGATAAGTTATGCAGCCCAAGTTTTTCCAGAAACACAAGTTCCTTTGGAAAATCAAACTGAAAGAGGAGTAAAACTGTATACCTACGTGTATTAAAATTTTTCTTGCTAATACAGATAAGTGGAGGAGCCTCCACACTACCTTCTCCCTATGTTCCCCACAAAAGAGTGAAGCTTCGTGGAAACTGTACCTTTCACATCCATAAGCCACATAGATAGGGATTACGCTTCCCATTTTGTGGATGGAGAAATGGAAGCCCAGGAAGACAGACAGGCTGTCCAAAGTCATTGGGCAAAGCCAGAGACGGGCTGTAGCTTATCAGTTAGGTCTCCCAGCTCTCTGGGGTCCCTCCGTCCCTGGGGTGGCTTCCTTTGTCTCTCTTCAGGAAGTTGTCAGCACTGGGGGCAAACAAAGCACATAATTAAATACAAATAAATATTTGGACCCACCCGACAATTTTTATTTTTTAAGTTTGATTTTCTAACGCTTTGTCTCTGTTTTCAAGCACTGGTGTGTTGAAACCACACAAGTTAGTTTGATCCCTGTCACTTTCTGCCCAAAGCGAATCTTGTCTTACCTCTTTTTTAGCCTAGGGTCACACACATATTGCTTAATTGCTTGCCCCTCTCCCTGTCGTTGGAGTTTGCCTTTTGGGGAGACAAGATTCAACATTTTTAGCATCTTTCCCAGGACAATATATTTGATGGTTTCTGTATAATTACTTGTGGGTTTCACAGTGGGAGGAAGAGAGAGGCAGGCCTTACAGTGTGGTGTGAGTTAGAACAAGGCCTGGGAAGTTACACTGCCCTGAAACAGGTCACTCTGATATTTAGCTGCTGCCCATGACCCCAGGCACCCACCTTACTTTCCTTTTTTAAAAGAGCTATTCATCTGGGGAGCCTGGGTGGCTCAGTCGGCCAAGCGGCTGCCTTTGGCTCCGGTCAGGATCCCAGGATCCTGGGATCAAGCCCTCCTACCTCTCCTCCCTGCTTGTGCTCTCTCTCACTGTCACTGTCTCTCTCTCTCAAATAAATAAGTTAAAATCTTTTTAAAAAGATGTATTTATTTATTTGAGGGAGAGAGAGCATGAGTGGGAGGGGGAGAAGAAGAGAGAATCTCAAGTTGACTCCACGCTGAGTGGGAGCCTGACATGGGGTTCAGTCTTACCATCCTGAGATCATGACCCTGAGATCCTTACCTGAGGCAAAAGCAAAGGTTGGACACTTAGTCAGCTGCTCCACCCAGGCACCCCAACGCACCATGCTTTCTTTTCTGAACTTCAGTGACCTTTTGTGATTGAAGAGTACAGCCACAGGGCCTCATCATGCCAGGCACACAGTAGGGACTCAATGGATAATTTGTGGCAGGAATTAATATGTATCTCATTGGGTTATTGTGTGAATTAACTGAAATAATGAATGTCAAGGATTTCTCATAGTACCTAAGATAGAGTAGATACTCAATAAAAGCAGCTACTCTTAACTGGTTTTAGTCATTATTAATATTTAGAACTGAATATTAAATGTCACAGGGAAACAGGAATTTTTTTTTAAAAGATTTTATTTATTTATTTGACAGAGAGAGATCACAAGTAGACAGAGAGGCAGGCAGAGAGAGAGAGAGAGAGGGAGCAGGCTCCCTGCTGAGCAGAGATCCCGATGTGGGACTCGATCCCAGGACCCTGAGATCATGACCTGAGCCGAAGGCAGCGGCTTAACCCACTGAGCCACCCAGGCGCCCCGGGAAACAGGAATTTTAAAGACCTGAACTCGAATCCCAATTCCATCATTTTATATTGAAAAAACTACTGGATTTAGGGTCAAGAAATTCAGCTGTGAGACCTGGCTCTGCCCTGAACTAGCTGTGTGACCTTGGTTAAGTAACTTCACTTCTCTGAGCCTCACTGCCCTCATCTGCAAAATGAGGAAATTGAGTAATCATTAAGATTCCTTTTTCCAGATCTAACAGCCTCAGTTTAAGATGTAGTCTTTTCTTTTACTGTCTCTGGCCCCAGTTTGCCCGTCTGTAAAATGGATGCTGATATTTAAGAGCCTCTTTCTGGGACAGAGCAGGCCCAGGGTGTGCAGATCCCAGTGCCCCTCTTGTCTCCAAACAGCAATCTTGAAGGTGCTTGTTCAGCTCAGACTGAGTGCTGGGTGGTGTGAACAGGTTACTCATCCAGAGTCCAGATTCCCTTACAAGTTGTATGGGGGCAACTCTACTTTCTACCTCCAATTATAGGAATATAGAACAGAATGACCAACAGTGACCATAATGCCCCTTATTAACAAATAAGGCCTAGTGTGAATTACCTCTTTAGGAAATACTTATCAGTAAATATGATAAAAACAATAGTGCATTTGAGTGGCAAGGTGAAATAATTTACCTTCTGATTAAGGGCATATATAATGCAATTATGAAGAATCCTGCTTAAATTTATTGATATTCCTGTAATCATTACAGGAAGAGGTACCATTTCTTAGTACCTCTTTTGAAGCACTGGCCTCAGTCTATAATTTACACAGCACTTTGACTAACATTGTCTCACTTGACTCCTTACAAAAGATGGGAAGGTAGAAGCAAATCAGGCATAATTTACCCCATTTCTCTGCCAGGAAACTGTACCCAGGAAAGAGTGGAATACTGACCATGGTGCAGAGGCGGAGTTGCAAGTTAGGGAAGAGCTGGGACTAGACATCAGATTGCCTGGCTGTCCGCAACAGCTCCTCTCCCCAATAGTCATGGTTACAGCCACCCTACAACCAGCCTTATCCCCTGGGGCAGTTCCAAGAGGCCATTCAATAAGCCTTCTCCCATACCCAGACCATAGTGTGCTCTAATTCTTGCCATGGAGATGGCCAACATCCCAGGCTGTTATGTCTTGAGCAGGTGGGATCACAGGCCTTCAGAGAGGTCAGGAATTCTCCAAGGGAAGTGTAGGACCGGCTGATCCATAAGCACCCAAGGGGGCTTCTTAGACACGCAGGTTTCTAAGTCCATCCTATACATACTTAATCCTTAAAACATTTGGAATCTGCATTCAGAGCTTTCCCTCATCATCCAAACTGAAGTAGCTGGTCGGGTCCAAGCTACCACTGTAGTAATTATTGTCTTCATAGATACTAGACAAGCGCTTGTTTACCAGTTTCTTTCTCCACCTTAGAGTGTAAATTTCATAACGATGGAGACCTCGTTAGCCTGACTGATTGCCGAACCCCGTTTTCTAGAACTCTGCAGGTCCCCACAGTACAAGGTTAGTAAGTATTTACTGAATGTGCACCCAAGTTTGAAAGCTCTGTCCTACACAACTGGTTCCTTTTATAGAAGAGAAACTGAGGACCACTGCTGCAGAGTTAGTAAGGCGCAGGGCCAGCGCCTGGATAAAATCTCAGATCTCTGAGTCTCAATTGGGCATAGGTTTAACTCCGCCCAAAGCAATTATTTAGAAAAACCGAAATGCAGTTGAAAGAAAAAAAACATTTCCTGCCTATAAACACTCGGCTTAGGGGGCTTGGCCGGGCTGGGGGCCGTTGGTAATTCGTTCCCACTTTGTAGGCACCCTTGACCCCAGGGGTTAAGGGCCTGCCTTCGGGCCCGGCGTCGAACCCAACTCAGGGCAGTGTCCCGGCCAGAGCCCGAGGGGAGGAGCCGAGCACGGCCCACGGAGGTGAGGGCGGCTCGCCCAAGGTCACCCAGGCGGCGACCGGAGGGGCCAGGCTCATGGGGCGCCAGGGAGCCGGCAGTATCGGTACGTGTTCGAGGTGGATGGGCACCCCTCTCCTTCACCCTGCAAATCAAGGGTGACATTAATGGCTCCTTCTCCCGAATTTGGCGCACCCAACCTCAAGAGCGAGACCAGGCCGGGTCGGCCGCGTGGCCCGTTCCCATGTGCTCCACCTGCGGACGCCCTGACGCGCTGGCCCTTTAAGACACCTCCCCCTCTTCACCCACCCATCTCTCCTGCCCCCCCCATTGCCCTCCCTTCCGAATTGCATCAGGCACGTGCTCGCCCCCGTCCGGTCAGAGCACCCCTCACCCCCCAGTCCGGGAGGTGCTCCGAGGAATTGGAGGCGAGGGGCGGGGCGAGGGGCGGGGCCGCGAGGTTGTGCGTGCGCGCGCGCTCCCGCCGGCTTCGCCCGCCCGCCTGTGGCCAAGGTCCGGCCTCGGCGGGCGCGTTCCCGCTGCGCCGTCCCCTCCCCTCGCCCGCCGCGTCGCGAGGCGCGCGCCCGCCCGCCGCCTGCCGCGGATCGCGTGGTCGCCTCGGCTCGCCGCGCCTCTCCCCCGTCCGTCCATATTGCTGCAGCCCCCGAGCCGGGAAGCCCGGGCCGCCCCGGCGGCGGGGGGGAGGGAGGGACGGGACGAGAAGCCTGCCAGGCTCGGGGTGGGGGCGCCTTGCGAGGAACGGGCGGGGGGGGGACGCGCGCCGAGGAGGCCTGGACCGCAGAGTGGGGGGCCTTCCTACCCCCCCCGCCCCGCCAGCGGGCCTCGGATCTACGGCGGCTGCATCCGACCGCGAGGGGGGCCGCGCCTAGCGTGAACCCCGACCCTTCTCCGCAGGGACTGGGGCCCAGCGCCCCGGAGGAAGGCGTCGCGGGTGCCCTGAAAGCCAAGTTCGAGGCGGGGGAGGCAGCCTCGGGCGCGCCCGGCTTCTCCGGGGGGGCGGGCGCGCAGATGGCCACTCAGGTGGAGCCGCTGCTGCCGGGGGGCGCCCCCCTCTTGCAGGCCGAAGAGCACGGGGGTCTGGTGAGGAAGAAGCCGCCGCCGCCGCAGCCCGAGGGCAAGGGCGAACCCGGGGCGAACGACGTCGGAGGGGGGGAGCCGGACGGCGGCGCCCGGAGACCTCGGCCGCCCTGCGCCAAGCCACACAAGGAGGGCACCGGGCAGCTGGAACGCGAGAGCCCGCGGCCGCCGCAGCCGCCGGGCGCCGAGGGCCTGGCGATCAGCGACGGGGAGGAGGGCGGCGGCGGTGAGCCGGGCGCTGGCGGAGGAGCGGCTGGAGCCGCGGGCGCCGGGCGTCGTGACTTCGTGGAGGCCCCTCCGCCCAAGGTGAACCCGTGGACTAAGAACGCGCTGCCGCCGGTCCTGGCCACGGTGAACGGACAGTCCCCTCCAGGTGGGTCTCCCTGCTTGCTCTCTTGGATTCGGGGACCTCTTCCGGGGACTTGGGCGTCCCCTCCCCCAGCGGCCTTCAGAGCTCGGGGGTCCGCCACTGGTCGTGGTGACTCGGGATTTTTTTTTTTTTTTTTAATTGCCTCTTGGCTCGTTTGGGTCGCGGTTCCCTCTCACACACTCGGGAAGCCGCCCCTGCCGGAGGGTCCAGCTCCCGGGAGCCCATGGCCACCGCCTGGGCCTCAGCGGTTAGTGGGCAACGGCGTGGTCCGGGCCTACCTCGCCAGGAGAGGGTGGGCGCTGGTTTCGGTGAAAAGGGCTCGCCCTCCCTCCCGCGTGCTGGTGTCGAAGACGGTTTCTAGCTTAACCCTTTCTCGGGAAGCCCCTCTTCCCACCCCGCCCCACGTTCCCCGTTTTGGTAGCGTTACGATCGTCCCCCTGTTGTAAATGTTTAATGAGCTTATGTCACGGGCAGCGAAGCGCGCGGTGATGAGTTCATACCGACCACACGGATTCGGGCTTTAAAAGTTAACAAGTTTTGTTCTCTGGTAGATGATACTAGGTGGTGGAATCGCCATTGGCGACGGGTTGAGGGGTCGGTTACGGGGAGAATGATGAGAAGAGGAAACCCAACGTGTCATTGAATTCGGTGGTTTCCCTTCCCGATCCCGGGGATCTTCCGCCTCGAGAGGGAGCCGGATGGCGAGTGTGCGGGGATCGAGTTAGGGGTTGGCGGAAAATGTGAGGCGAGGAAGGGGGCATGCGGCGACAGGAGGGGCGTGTGGCGGCGGGGGAGGGAGTGGCCGGGCTGGGCGGGCGGGTGACAGTTGGGCGCCATGCGCCGCGCCGCCGGCCCGCGGGCTGCTCGCGGCCGCTGGGCCTGTGCGTTCGGCCCCCACCGCCGCGCTCGGGGTGGAAGGCGGGTGCGGGCCGGCGGCGCGGCGCGGCCCGCAGTGTGCGTGTGCGCGAGTGTGAGTGCGCGGCCCCCCTTCCCGGCATTCCTCCGCAGCCGGGACAACGTGGTGCCTCTCCGCGCGAGGAGCGGCATGTGACCGCCGGCCGGCGCTCCTCGCGCCCTCCCTCTCCCTGCTCGGATTTTCGGTCCTGTGGACTCCGTCCCTTGGGAGATCCCGGCGGAGCCGTGTCAGCTTGGGGGGAAAGGCGGTGAAGAATATGGAGGCTAGTCTCGGCCTCCCTTCGCCGAGACGAGATCGTCGGTTGGGTGGGGGGCGCGCCCTGCTGCCTTCCTTTGCCGGCGCGTGGAGGCTCGACGGCTCTGTTTTGGGTCCTTTTGAAGTGGACCAGTATCAAAACCCGCTTGCAGCTAGAGTGTTGGGCCTGTGGCCATAGCCCTAGTGCTTTTCAAAACTCCCCTTCTGTAGTCGCTGGTTGAGACTGACTAGTTTAAATCATCAAAATGGGGAAAGTTGAAGAGGGAGCTTATTAATGCTTTTACATTCGAGGGATTAGGATCACTCATAGTCTTAGGGAAACTAGAACAGCCAATTCGGAAAATATCATGTTGCAATTTTTATTTCTTTTAAGGTTGCTTCATTTGGAGGAGGGGACATTTGGGGTTTACTAATAATACCTCAAACCGTGTTCTCTTCCTTCTGCCCTCTCCCCCTTCCCCCCTTTCCCTTCCAGAACTCTGTTATGCAAAGGGCAGTGCTGAAACCTCCATTTTCTTGCATATTCCTCCTGATCCACCCACAGAGGGAGGGAATGTAACTTTAAGACACTCTTCAGTCCTCCCCCCCCCTTTAAACTCAAAGGGGTATAATCATCCCCAGGAGAGAGCACTCCTCAGAAGTTTAAATGGGGCTACTCACCCTGGCTGCTGCTGCTTAGCTAATGGTGAACCTGCCTTGTGGGTTTTAAATCAGCCATGACATCAGGTGGTATTGGGTGCCTGAGCTGGCGTTTTGTGCAAGTGCAGGGGCCCTTGATAGGGTGCGTCACTGGGGTTATTGATCGTGGGAAGAAGACAGCTTGGCTGGCATCTCGCCTTCCCTGAGTGGAGAAGCCAGCTTGGTTTAAGTGCCCAAAGCAAAATTCTGAGTCTGGTAGTTTTGCTCTGTTCTTGTTTTTCTGGAATCTTAAGGCAACAAAGTGTCTTGTCTGCTGATTGGTTTTTGAACCTTAGGACTAGTTTTTGACAGACTGACTCTGAATTGATCCAGTAGCTTCTCGGTTTAAGTCTGTTTTAGGGCTTGGTTGCTTTTTGAGGGAGAATTCTGATTGAATCGTCTGTCTAGTAAGGTTAGATGGAGGCTCTTTTTTTGGAGAGTGCATGGACTGCTAAGACCGTTTTTTCAGCCCTGATTTTATTTGGAGCTTGGACAAGTTTAAATGTGACACCAGTGGAGTGGCGGTGTGGTCTTGGGAATTTTTGTGTTCTGTGATGCATATGTTTTTGGGAGTCTACAGAAATGAGTGCCTCATAAGCAAGCTAAAAGCTTTCCAGAGCTTGCTGCAAATGCCTATTTTTAGCCCTCCTTTTGGCTCCGATGCTAGTATTTTAGTGCTTTAAGGGATACATGCAGTAACTAGTAATAAAAGATGTTTTTCAGTATCCCCCCCCCCATTCTTGTGGGGTTCTCTCTTCTGGTTTAAGTGTCCACATTTTAAATTTGTAGTTTTCATTTTAAGTCAGGATTTTCATTTTGGCCTTTTGTATATCCCTCCCTAGACTATTTTGAAGACCTTTAAAATTTTTTTCCTTATTCTAGCCACAACTCTTATGAGTATGAAAGAAGCAGGATGGGAAATGATCCACAGCAAAGGTTCTGGGGTTAAAACTGCATTGGCTCAAGTGCCAGCTCTTCCGCTTGCTGGCTGTGCCTCCTTGGGCAAGGTACTTAACCATTCTGTGTCTCAGCTTCTTGGTTTGTATAAAAAGGATTAAATTATGGTTTATCTGTTTCATGGGGTTGTGAGCATTGACTGTGGTGATAGCCCAATGCTTAGCATGTGGTAGCTGTTCTACCATGTCTGGGAGACTGGGGCTTTCCAGGACTTTTTTCTGGGTCTTCTTTTTCTCCACCTGGAAGAGGAGGGGGGTGGAGAATGCAGTACTTTCCTTTTCTGGTATTGTGTCAGTACTCAAATATATAGGATCCATCTCCTTGAAAATGGAGTTTTGCTTATCCATAGAGGAAAGGCATATTGTCTATAATCTTAAAGGTTGCTGACCCAAGGAATTGGCTATTTTTGCTTTGGAATGTGGTATGATGAATGTTTTAAAAATAAATTCCAATTTGTTTATTTGCGTTTTGTAAAAACTACCTTTGGTAGAGTGCACATACTCTCTCAAGGCTGTGGGGAAAGACCATAACTGAACTAAGTTTGCTGTGGCTAGTGCACGTGCGGTGGGTTGAGACCTGAGAGTGTATCATCACCACAAGCTTCTGCCCACCCCAGCAGGGGGAATCAGTGGATTGGTCGTGTAGGACTTATAACTTCATGTAACAAAATTAAGCAGTGGTATAATGTTCTTTACTCTTATTTTATTTTTTTAAAGACTTTTAAAATTTATTTGTCGGGGGTGGGGCACAAGCAGGGGGAGCAGCAGGTAGAGGCAGAAGCAGGATCCCCTCGTTGAGCAGGAAGCCCAACATAGTGCTTGATCCCAGGACCTTGGGATCATGACCTGAGCCAAAGGCAGATACCTAACTGACTGAGCCACACAGGCACCACAGTGTTCTGGACTTTAAAGGGAAATCCAGCCAAATACTCTGACATGAGTATTTGTTCTGGACATCACTTTTTTGTGTGTACGTTTGAAGTGTCGCTAGCTAACTGATGGTACAAAGTAAAGAAGAGGCAAAGTCTCAGCTAACCCAGAGCAATCCTAGGAATCCTCCACCACAGGGAACTGGCCCCCAATAAATCTCTAATCTCTTTCTCTACTTTTCTTAGGTTTAGGCCCTTTTTCAGGCTCCTCCTAGTCACTAGGGAGGGGTATCTGTGGATCTGGGGTATCAATTTCAGTATAGCTTTTAGAGCTTCGTCAGACCCTTGCCTTTTCCTTTTCCCACCATGAGAAGTGGACTATGGAAGCAACAGCTCTGCCTTGGAATCCTACAGTCTACAGTTTTTAGTCCCACCTTCGCTTCTTTTGCTGCTGTTGCTGCTTTTTTAAAAAAATGAGGTATAATTGACTATTAGTTGCAGATCAGCAACATAATGTTTCAATATTTGTATATATTGAGTTTTGATTCTAACTTGCTGTGCAATCTTGGGTGAATTACTCAGCCTCTCTGAGCCACCATTTTCTCATCCCCAAAATGAGAATAATGATAGTTACTACTTCTAAAGGTTGTGAAAATTGAAGAAGATAATGTTTATAAAGCCCTTATCATAGTGCCAGGCACAGACCATCTAATAGGTGCTACTTATCCAATAATTGCTATAAAGTTTTTATAATAAATGATGACCATTATGAAGCATGGTCATTCCACTTCTGATTCTGTTATTGAATAGCATTGTGGATACCAGCACGCCCTGGGCTTCCTCTGTCTCTGTTTCTTTATCTCAGAATGAGGGAATCCAATTAGGTCTAAATGTCTTTAAAGTATTTTTCCTATCAAAAGTTTTTCAGTAGGGTTAGGCCTCTGCCTTCAGCTCAGGTCATGATCTCAGGGTCCTGGGATGGAGCCCCACATCAGGCTGTCTGCTCTGCGGGGAGCTTGCTTCCCCCTCGCTCTCTGCCTGCCTCTCTGCTTACTTGTGATTTCTCTCTGTCTCTCTGTTAAATAAAAGCCTTTAAAAAAACAGAATAATTAAAAAAAAAAAGTTTTTCAATAAACCACCCCCCCCACACACACACGAGAAAGAAGCCAAAACAGAGGTTTTAATATGTGTTTATTTCTGTTTGCTGTAGCAGTTAAGAACTCAGTTTGAATACAAGTTCTGTGAGGGCTGGAGAGACTCTTCTGGCTTTAGGAACCTAGACGGATCACTTGGGGTACATATCCGATACTGTGGAGCAAGCAGACAGTA